ATATATATATATATATATATATATATATATATATATATATATATATTTGTTTCATTCATATGAAGTAACAATGTTTCTTTCAGCACTGAGAAAAATATTAGTGGCTCATTATTGCTGTATTGCAACTGTACTGTAATGCATGTTGTTACCAAAAATAGTCACTGTACTTCTAAGCGAATCCAGCTGGTAACAACAATCACTTGAAATTAATTCAATAATAAAACGTACAATGAAGTGAACGATACAAAATTCGCTTTCCCTTTTTTTAAAATTCCATCGTTTTCTCCTTCCATTGTAGATCGCTAATAAGTTTAAATTTATGTTTCGTAATGATGAACATTATTACGTGCGTAAAAGCGTAAATGGATTAGTGGTAAATTTTTAGTGAAACTACCGATATATAGATACAGGCGGATTTTCAACAGAATTCAATACATGTATAGCTCAGCGAATGATGGCGTACAATTGAATTTGATAGAAAATATATCACTTCTACATTCCTTGTTTACAAACAAGAGCAACAACTCTTGCTACTTTCATATATGTATGTATATATGTTACATATATATATATATATGTATGTATATATATATATATACGTATATGTCGGATTACAACGGCAAAGAGCTATGAATTCGAAAACTCTGTTGCTCTACTGTACAAAAGTATCGCGTATTAAAAATTAATTGATCTACCTAAATATTAATATATTTATGTGTGTGTGTGTGTATATATATATAAATATATATGTATATATGTATATATATACACACATATATAAATATATATATATATATATATCTAATTACGTACACGATCGTTTTCGCTGCGCCTTTGCACTAATAATTTTCTCAGTACACTTTTTTCTTTTGTAATAAATCTAAATGTACTCTGTCTCCTCTTTCTCTCTCTCTCTCTCTCTCTCTCTCTCTCTCACTCACACACACACACACATATATCCTTTCTCTTCTCTTTCTCTTCCACTCAATTGACAACAGACGAAAAGCATCATCCTTAATGTTTTACAGTGTCTCTACAATCATGTTACAACTCCATAATAATTATAATTAATAATAATAACTAGAAAAGAAAACAGAACAAAATGCTTGGAAACACGACAAAAGAAATATACGATATGTTATATTGCGAAATACTCATCTAGAGCGTCCAACAGATTTTCATTCAATAAAAGCAATACACTGGATTGTTAATATTAATTAATCACGGAAGCACGGCATGACGGATGCTTAAAGACGTTTAATGTATATGATATTCTTGTGTGTTCAATGTTAGATCCGATAAGGAACGTGAGCTTCGTCGGATGCAACATTAACTTCATTCTTTCGCACATCCCCTAGTCTTTCATCGAAACCGATGATGCTTTACATTGCAATGATATACTTTTCATACTCGAATCTTGTTATCACAAAAATCATTAGAGATGATTTTTACGTTGCTGCGATCAAAAGAAAAAAGTAATTATGATAATAAATAATAGAAAAATAAAAAAAAGGTAGGAGACATAAAATTTAGACGTAATTTCTGCTTCTTAGAATTTTGCCACATGACTGTATGTATGTATATATATGTATATATACATATATATATACATGTATGTGTGTATATACACACATATATATACATGTGTATATATGTATATATATGTGTGTATATATATGTATATATGTGTGTATACATGTATATATACATGTATGTATGTATATATGTATTTATACATGTATGTATGTATATATATATATCGCATTGTAATCGCTCGTACATCGTATCTTAAATTTATGACTGCTTTCAGACAACACATGGGAGCATTATAAAAGATGTTGGTGGATAAAAACCTGTGACGTGTGTCGGTTCAGTTTAGTATATATAAAATTTCCATTGTAAATTCTCCGTGTTTTCTGTACGTATTTTCCGAAAAGGTGTACCATAATTAGTAGAGTCATTTCAATGGGCATTATACGAATGAAAACAACATTACTGGCACAGTTTTCTTTACAATATATCGTAAATATTTGTTATTTACGTAACCTTCTCTTTTTCCTGTTTGCCGAGAATTTTTACAAGTTAATGATTATTAATTTTCGATTTTTGTTTTCCTTTTATAACGAATTCGACGAGTTTATGAGAAGCATAAACATGTAATAAATGAAAATTGAAATAAAGATATGGTTATTACGTAATTCTATGTTTGAAAACTGTTAACTCAAATACTCTAAGAGTTTCGAGTCTAGTCAAACATTGATGGCAAGATACGTTTACTAGCAATAAGTACAAATGTTCCGTAGCATGCTGTTCTTTCTTAAATACAAGTAATAAAAAACATAAAAATACAATACTAATAATTTAAGATCTAGATATAATTCAATTCACATTCAACATTTATACACAATGTTGAGAAGTGATCTTGCGTATTTTGGATCAAGTATTCGGTATTTACATAAAAATATTATCACTACGAAAATCAATTCTCAGTTGTTGTCTATTCAGATTTTTAGTAGGTTACGTCATTGTTATATCAGCTGGTTTAAAAGTTTGATCTAGATGTTAATGATATTGATCCATTTAAAAGACATTCACAATATGTAACAAAAAATTAATAAAATATATAGTTGGAAGCCATTTAATATTATGCAATATGTATAAGACTTATTGTTATATAATAATCTTATCTACATATACCCTAGCCCTTTTTTTATGAAATGGAAACGTACAACATTTACGACTTACTTTTTTTTTAAGTGATAAATAACAACATAATGTTAGATATTAGCAAGTAGTATAAAGACTAAAATTAAAAAAATTATCCCAAAACTATAAATATATAATATCGTTAAACTTTATTAAATAACAATGATTTATTCTAAAATTTATAAAATTTGTTTTAATAAAATATAATATTTTATTTTAAAATAAAAAAAAGATTCAATTCGGAAGAAAGACTATACTTTGATTACCAGATTTTTATGTTATGTTATGTAAAATACATTAATATTATAACAGGATGAACATTGAGGCGCGAATAACGTATGAATCTTATAAATAAAAATTATGAAACTCTTTTTCTAAAAATTCAATAATATGAACAATATATAATATCCTCAATAAAGTACAGTATTTGAAACTAAGTTAATCGCGACAGTATAATAAAATTTGATTTACTATCATTTATAATGACAAATATATTAACAACGATTAAAATAAAAGAGCATGAATAACGATAATTTGATTGAATCTGAAAGTATAATGCTAACTGTACATTTCTTATGCACGAATTAAGCGTACAAAATTAAGAACTATCTGTTAGTAAATGTATTTACATATGTAACTATACATTGTTTACTTATTCAATCTTTATGAGTTACATAATTTTTTAACTTTTTGCCGGTATATTATAAGTCAGCGGAGCATCCGTCGATCAAGAGTTAATGATGTAATGATTATTGTAATACTTCATTGTACATATAATTGCCTGGAGGGAAAGAATGATATGCATTGACCTAATGTTTCAAACATACATTGATTTTTTAGCTTATACAATTCTCATTGCATCGTTCCTTTTCTTTTTTCATTATTTTTTAGAACAGAGTTAAAAACGTGAAAATGATAGCAAAAAAATATGGTTCTTTTTTTCTCTATAATTTTTACTCAATCTAATTATATATTTTTTACATCTCCATCATTTTCCAATCTCAGATTTATATATCTCAATCTTTTCTGTTTAAAAAATATATTTGATCAAGCAAAATCAGACACATAAATTCTTAATGAATTGTAACAAATCCTAATCAGAAAGAGCAAGAAAATTTCTAAACTGAACTATCTTTCGTAACTATTTGGAATTATCAGCCTCATAAAATTTATATAAAAATTAATTATTTTTTTGCTCAATATTTATGATCATACAAGAAGAACTTATTGATACTTCACACATGACATTGTTAAAAGTAATGAAATAATATACAGAAAAATATTACATGGCCCATCAAAAGACTCTATTTTTTTCTTTCAGTATTACTTCACTTCAAACTACACTTTGATTTATATTCTCTTATGCAAGTCATTTTGTATGTATTTTGCATGAATTTAAATCACGTATAAATTGAAATATATGTATTTATTCGATATCAAATGCATGTTTATTTTTCACATTCATAGTTACCATTGTAATTTGCTTCTTCTCTCAAGTACATCAAACACGGGAACACGGACATTAATTCATTATGTAACCAATATATTTGAAATCTATTCCATGTCAATGTGATTGGAAGAGTTACTTATTATAACCAATTGAGCTATATTTGAATTTTTTAACAAACACCTTAATAATTAGATAAATACAATCAGTTAATTGTATCTGATATACTGTGAGCAGTTATATCATATTATTATTTTTTAGGAAAAAGAACTGAAGCCAACAATAAAGCAGTTGTAGTTCATGTTATGTGTTACGTATAAGGAGGATTGAGTTTTCACTTCCTTTTTGGATAATTCCTCAATAAGTATGTTTATATTACACACCCAGCACTTAGTGGGTCATACCTGGTTGTCCACTGCTACATAACAAGCAAGCAATGTGGAATATTCCAATCAAAATTCTTTTCAGAGTGCATTGAGCGATGATAATACTGGCTATTTGGCCAGAATATAGGTAGGGCTAGGAAGCACCAAGTGAACCTGATCCTGGGCTTGGACTATTCTGTACAGCTGGAGGTACTTGATTATAAGGATGATTACTATTGCACAAGACTGTATAAATATTCTCCACATTACTGAGTTTTTCAAAAAATGGAATTAAATCTAATAGTTCTGAATCTGTCATATCATCAAACCATGATGCCACTGGTACCTAAAAATGAATATATTTTGTATCTCTACTTTCTATTTTTTTTTATATTCCTTATTGTTAAAACTTACTGCATTATCTGGATGGAAAATGTAACTGGCAGGACTATTATCAACAATAATGATTTGCTGCAAATCCCGCCCTAGTTTATTTAAATCTTTAACATAGTTTCCTCTGTGATAAACACAAGATTCTCTAAACAGTCTTGCTCTAAACACTCCCCATCTGTCAAGCAGATCTGCTACTGGATCAGCATACTGTAAATAGTAGAAATATGGGACATTCAAACACGCTTCTTTTCCGAGATATGAAACTGATAGTGATGGTAAACAACTGTTTGCATAATATACCTTAGCCAAACTTGCTGTGAACAATACACACTCGTATAGTTCACCCATTCTCTGTAAGAATTCATCCACATAAGGCCTCTTTAAAACATACACTTGATGTACTGTCCCATCAATCTCTACAGGAACAACAAAATCGGCATTGTTGATTGGTTTGAAAGAACTATGTACTAGTGTTTCATCCAAATCAATCACCATGCACTTCTTGTGCATATCCTGATGTCTGACAGGTGGGAGAAGGAACCTTGGGGATCCAGTCCTTAAGGATGGAGAACCATGTCCATCACCTTGTAATGAGCTTGTTTTTGAACTTTTTGAACTACTTCCACGTCCTCTACCAAGACAACAAAGTAGAGATCGAAGAAGTCCACGCCCTCTTGGCTTTTTGCCACTAGTTGGACCTGTGTTGGTCGCTTCATTCTCCTGTGGTAACTGAGCTACATTTGGAAAAAATAAATATCATCTTGTAAATACACATATTAATACATGATTGATGGCATTAAAGAAACATACTATATAAACAAAACTTATCGAGAACAAAACTTATTAAAACTTATATTATGATAGAGATATACTTGTACAAAAATATGAGAAAAAAAAATGCAAAAATTACTTTTATGATTAATGTCATGAAATGTTATTTCTTGCCTAATGTACAAAGGAATGAATTACTAGGAATTACCATTTTTAAAATAGTAGAATATTTTTATAAGCACATATTTTGACAGTTTCAAGAAGTAGGAAAAGCACATTTGCTTTAATTTAACCTTTTGCACTCCTAGTTTTTCTTTAATTTTCTTATTAACGGTACATTATTGTTTTAAGCATACTTGAAGAAATTATTAATTGAAAGGAACTAATTAAACAATTTTTTTTTTACTAATTACATTGAAAATAGAATTGAAACTTTGCTGAGATTTGACATTTTAGGAATTTGTAAATACTTTTTTTTGGAGAATAAGAAAACTTAAATAATCAAAGACAGATTAAATACATATAAAAAGATAATTTTATTTAATCTTTTTTTCTTAATAATAACATAGAAATATGTTTTCATTTCAGTGATTCTTCCAATCCGTCTGAAGTGAATACAGTTTTATTACAATTTCCGAAATTTATTTTTATATAAATTAACGTCAAATCACACACGACGGAATTCAAAAGGTTAATTGCATTATTTGAATCGTCCGGCCAATATTCGAATGTATTCGAACAAACGGAGTTGGAGTAAGTGAATTAAAACGGCGGTAAGATATGGATACGACACACGATGAAACACGCGAAACTTAGGTGAAAGAAAACGAGAGGGAGAAGGATAGAAGCACGATTTGCGAAGAGGAGAAGCGAGGCGAGGCAAAACGAGGCGAGGCCAGGCAAAAACGAGGGCGAGAGGAAAAGAGACGTCGGAAGTGAAGTACAGACGAATAGTAATAGGTGGGGAGAAGGGGAAGAGGGTGAGAGGTGAGAACTTAGGTGAGGTAAGGTGAGGAGCGAGGTGCAGTCCTGTAACAGGTGCAGATTCCATCCAGCATCTGGAAGAAAAAGGTTTAAAAAAAAAAAAAAAAAAAAAAACAAGAAAAAAAAAGTGAGACGGCGGGCCTATATTCACAACAGACACCTACCTTTCCCATTATTAAACTGGCCTAGCTCGTCATCCCGTGACACTTGGGTGATAATGGACGATGCGTCCATTTAAACATTTGTTGAGAGTCCCTGCGTGTCTGATCGTGAATTCCGTTAATGCGCGCGCGCGACAATATATATATATATACATATATGTGTATATACACACATTCATATACACACGCGCGCACGATCTCGAGAATGAGAGAGAGAGCGTATACGCGCGGTAGCACGCACACGCACCAACTCACTCACTCACTCACTCACTCACTCACTCACTCAGTCACGATGTACGAAATCTCTCCCTCCAAACGTTGTCGCGGCCACCACCGCCGCCGTCGCCGCCACCGCCGCCACCACCACCACCGTCACCACCTCCACCGTCTCCTTCACTGCCGCCACTGCCGTCACCACCTTCACTGTCTCCACCACCACCGCCGCCACCTCTGCGAAGATCACCACAACTTGGCGAACGGAGACGCATAGGCGCAGGCACGGGCACGAGTACGCTCACGCACACGTACCCACACGTACCCACACGACACCACAGATATTTACTTCACTGATTCAGTATAGGATTTATCTTGATTTTAAATATCAATAACTCGGTAATAGTCTCAGCGCGGGAATAAATTGATTCGGCAGGGTCGGAAATTACAATTGACACCGCACTAAAAGAATCACTTGATTTCTTAAACGTAAACGTAACTGGGGAAAGTTAATCCAATTCTTGGTTGCCTTCATTCCAAGAGAGCACCTATTGCACGTATGTCTACGTATACGTGCATGTACGCTCTCTCTTTTACGCGCCACACCTATGTCGTTGCGCAGTTCATTACGATTCGACATTTGTCGTATGCGTTATATTCCCTCAATACAGTTTTCCTGTCCAATGATGCTGTCCTTCGACGCTTCTCGCGCACATATCAGTTCTTCGACGATGGATTTCAGTAGTATTGTTCAATATAATTGATTCGTGTATTTGCTGCTGTTCGGGTTAATAGCAACAGTGATTTGTTGATATTTCGTAACAATCATGTTATACACTTAACACAGACGATGTTAAATAACGTATATTTTTCACAACACTCACTGTAGCTAGAATTTTATCCGTTCAACGGAAACAACGTCGCGCACCTGCGCTACAGAGGTTTTTGATGTTACAGTACAGTGTTTTGCTGGTCTTGTATTTTATGCGATCGACGCGCTTCCTTGCGACTTTTAGTCGAACTACATGCACGACCGTTGCGCAGCGTTTGAACTCAAAAATTAAAGCCATAAAAGCAAAACAAGACGGATGGTTTCGCTCATTCCTTTTGTGGCATCATCTTGACTTTGTTAGTAATGATTCGTATTAGATGGATAAATCTTTTAGCGAAACTATAGCTCACTATAAACTTAATTTTGTTAAACAAGGAATTTGTTCCGTTGAATTCAAATACTTTTAAATAATGCTGTGATTAAATTATATATATAATACTTGGGTAAAATATAATGTATATTGTATGTATGTGCATATATATATATATATGTGTGTGTGTGTATATATATATATATATAAAATACTTATATTTTTTGACAATACAAATATGGGTACAAAGAAAATTTATTTGTTATAACTAACAACGACATAACTACAATTCAGATATTTTTATCTTGAAATTTTACTCGTAATATGTTCTGTGTAACTGTATTTGGTCTTATATCTTACGATACAGCAATAATGACATGACAAGATTAAATAGCTTTAATTACTATAAATTGAGCAGAATTTTTTTTTTTTTAAGAAATATGCAATATGAAATATTTTAAGAAATATTTTAAGAAATATGCATATGCAAATATGTTCTTATATATTTTATATCATGTGTACATTATATAATTATCCAAGTTCATTCATTGTAAATAATTCCTAACAATTTCTATTATATGTATATGCATTCTAATGTTCTAAAATGGAAGACCAAGGTAATTTGTGCCCAGATAATGTTTTGTTTCAAATAAAATGTGACCATTTTATTTTTTTTATGAATTTCTGTTATATATCACAAATGTATAGAATATTGACATAAAATTTCATTCCTCATTCCAATTTATTATATATATATATATATATATATTCTCTATTAATATATATATTTTTTATTAAAATCCTTAATTGTAAATTATTTAGTTTATCATACATTTCATTCATTCAAACTTATAACTTTTTACATTTATGACAATACTATTGAATGACAAATTATAAAATTATGAATATAATATATAAATGTTTCTCTTTCTTTTTCTTTCTCTCTCTCTTCCTCTCTCTCTCTTTTGTAAGTTTATATGCATATTAAAAAAGAAACAAATAAAAATATTAAAAAATCGCTTTTTCTGCTATATTTTGCACAGTCCGATTTTTTTTCACCAATACAATCACTTTGTTCTTTTTTTTTTATTCGATGTTGTTGGAATTGATTTTGTTCTTCCTTTTTATAACAATAGAAACTCTTCGAGGACGGATTTTTCACACTACGATTTATTACTTATTTTTCATTATCATTGTTCGTCTTGTTACTCTTCCACAAAATAAACCGGTGATGAAAATTAACCCAATCATTGTTAATGCGACAATCATGAAGTACCGTCTCGCAGGAGATTGATTTACCGTTGAGTATAATTCTTGGATTGAATTTGGTGCAATTAACTGAAAATAAATAAATAAATATATTATTAATATGCAATATATAGGCACATTAAAAAACATAGAATTTATTACCCTTGCTGCATTCCTAAACATTTCAATCCTTTTAGTTAACATCTTAAAGCAATCAGGTTGTAAAGACTTGTTACTGTCTTCTAATACGTTTTGTAAACACATAATATCTAGAAAAAGAAAAAGAAAAGATAATATTTTGACAGTTTGCATATTTAATTTAAGTATAAAATATATCATTTATTTATTAGACGTACGTCTGCCTGCGCCTTGGGGAACATCACTACAATATTTACTAACATCAACGGCACATGCTTTTTGCAATAATGGATCTACATTAATATCTGCTCTTGTTTGTTCTATTAAATCGGCAATTTCGAGACGACATTCTTCTTTCATATCTCTATTACCATCATTGAATTCCGATTTCAAACATTCTTCTACAGCTCCGGGATCATTTTCATCTGCTCTACAGATTGTTTCAATCTGTTCCAAATAAGTACTATACTAGTCAATATATTTATTTTAAATAATTACTTATTTTGAAAATATTTTAACAATAATACCTCATGTGCACACATTGTAGCTAGCAATGGATTTAAATGATAATTTAAAGCTGCTTCTCTAAGTATGTTAGCCATTTGGTGTTCACATTTAAGTAAAAGTTTAGACTCTCGGAATTTAATTTTTAAACACCTTATAACTTTCCCTTCAAGTTCTTTATCAGTAGGTTCATTTAATAAAACCTAATGAGAAAATGTTACACATATAATAAAACAGTAAAAAAAAAGTGTAAGTAAAATATTTTTAAACATACCTCTTTACAATGTTTATTGATATCAGAAGAACATGCAACTTGTAACGCAGTATTAAATCTGTAGTCTGTATTTTGTTCAATCATTCTTCGAATAACAATATTTTTGCATTTATCATCAAACGTTGGTTCATCTTTATATCTTTTTAAACAATCTAACGCTTGTGAACGGTTTATATCATGGCAGAATTGTCTTATCATAACTCGACAATTATTTAATAAAACAAAATCGATTGAACTATCTTGAAATTCTTGCTTTCTTACCTTAAACAGTTGTTTATGACACGCATCTGTTAATTTTGATTTATGTGCTGCTAAACATTCAAGAATCTGAAATAAACATATTATATCATATATTAATATGATTAATAATTAATATGGATATTAAAATATATATGTAAAAATGAAGATACACATATATATATATATATATATTTCAACCTGAGAATTTCCTGGTTCAAGATTATAACAATATTGTTTAATATCATTTGTACACTGTGCTTGTAAGATAGGATCAAATTGAATGTTTTCCCTTTGCTGATAAAGCTGTGCTTTCAATTGTTGTCTACATTCTTTTGGTATATGATGCTGAGTATCTTTCATTATATCTTCTTGTACTCTTGTACTCAAACATTCTATTACTTCTGCTTTAGTTTTAGATCTAAATATTAAATGTTAAAATGATCATTTTTGTATTGATAAAATTCGTATGTTTAAAATAATATTTAAAAAATTATATTATAAATTCTATACTCACCTTGGACACCATCTTTTAACAGAAGGTCTACAAGCTTCTTTGAATTTATATGTAAAGTGATAATTTTTTAATGATATTAATTGGAAATGCTCCACTGCTGCTTTACATTTATAATCAGATCGTACATCTAAATCGTTTTTGTGTTCTATTAAACATTCCATCATGTCACCCTCATCTTTACCATATTTTAATATTTCCTGTTTTATAAATTTTTTACATAAATGTTATGATTATAAACTATAAGTTAATATTTACGTTGAATTTTTTTGAATATATTTTTTTGAATATATACCTCACAATGACGCTCCATGATATGTTGACAGGCAGTAGAAATTATTGGATTCAATTCAACACGTTCCGCTTGTTCTTCCGTAAAATTGCCGACTGCTAACTTGCAATTTCTGTTTAAACTGTAAATAAAACAAATGGATTATAAAATAAATTCATAAATTTTCATATGATTGAGTAATTACCGGTCTAAATTATCCTGAAGACATAATATTTCTTCTCCTTTAGCTGTTTTATCATAACAGAATGATGCTAACTCATTTAGGCACACTTCTTCAATTTCAGGTTGTAAATCAACATTTACTGCTCTTTGCCTCATAACACGTCTAATTTCTTCAAGGCATTCTGTCCTTAACTGAAATAAGTAAAATAATACAAGATCAAATTTTAATTTCTAAACAAAGTCATTTATAGGTAATTATTTATGAAACTACATGAATTCTTACTGTCATATTTTTCTGAGGATGATATGCATGTCTATATAAACATGGTAAAACAAGAGGTCCTCTTTCCGGATCCATTTGTTTTCCATCATTAGCCCATGCATTCCTTGCATGACATAGACGTGTTGCATCATATTTACATCCCCTATATAATTGAGGATCTAGTTTGAAATCTCTAGCTA